TCCCCCTTCTCTTGCCCGTCCCCCACCTCCTCCTGGAGGATTTTCCACAAGTATGCAGCAGTACTTGAGATCTCTGAGACCCTGAACCGACATCCTCATGGGCCTCTGAGGTGCCCCAAACCCAAACCCAAACCCAAACCCAAATGCAGAGGGCCATGTGGAGCTGGCGGTGAGATTTGCTACCTGTGCTTTCTGTATTCCGGTGAACTTATGACTCGTGGCTTTGAGGTATACTGTGCACACACCTTTTTAAAAGGCCAAAGTATCTACTTATGGAAGGCCTGTGCTGTCCTTCTCAAGCAAATACCAAATGCCATGCTCAGATCGGGCTGCAGCGTGGCGTCTGCAAGTGGCTCTGCCAACTTGTATGATTTTCCTTCTCTCGTCCGTTGTTCTCAGGTGTCCCTTAGTGAGGCAGTGTTATAACTTCTGGTTTCTAGTGGGGCGGCAGAGGCACAGGGAGCCAGGACATCTGCTCCTGCAGGACAATCTGTGAGTGGGGGAATGGGGTGCATTAGCACACTCTCTCCGGGGGCCACTGGTCACTTCTATGTGATGGGGAGGATCCAGGGGGAAATGACAACATAGTCACTCACTTAAGGTAAGACATCCAGACCCTTGAAAATGTCTAGGCATCAAGAGGGCCTCTCTTTTTCTTTAAGGATGTTTGTGATTCTGAAGAGAAAACTTCCTGTGCACTGTGCCCAGATTCTGCCTGAAGACCCTGGGCTGCAATATTTAGATTTTTAGTCAGGAGGAAAAGGATTATTCAAATGCTATCCACTATGCCAGGTGCTGGGACAGGTGACAGGTGTGGGGGCATCAGGAGAGATATATAAATTGCTCCCTGTTGAACTCTAGGAGTCCACCAGCCCGTTGGGGTTGGCAGTGAAAGGCCCACGGAATGAGAAGTGGAAGAGCAGCGAGTCAGCAGAACAGACCTACAGCCTGGGCCTTGGAGGCAGGGGACGGCAATGCCTGCTGAGATGCGGAGGACGATGGCCTGGGCTGGCTCCGTCAAGATTTCAACAGGTCTAGAGAGAGACAGCACCCAGTAGGAGGCTAAAAATGGGCCAAGGGCATAGACAGGAACAGTGAGGGACAGAAAGGCAGATGGGAGCACCAAGGCAGAACATTCGGCCAGAGGAGCATCCTTGCTTAAGCCAGGGGATGGTCAGAAAGGCAGAGGGGAGTCCAAGGCAGAGGGGCAAGGTCATGGTTTAGAAGCACAGGGCTGAGGCTGCATTCCACTAGGGAGGAAGGGGTGATGGTGCTGGTAGGATGTGAATTTGCAGTTCAGCTGGAGGGAACCTCTTGAGAAGCTGCCCCCTGCCCTGGCTGCATCTGGGGAAGATCCATCTTCCAGTCAGGGGAAAAGTCCCTGCTCAATCCCACCTGCCCAAGAGCTACCACTTTTGTCTCTAGAATGGGTATTCATACATGGGTTTGGACTTGGGGATTCACAGTCCAGTGTACTGACACAGAGACCAAATCACCACTGCAGGGTGCAAGCTCTGGCCCACCTCCCTTGCAGGTACCTTCTAATTGGTCTCCCTCCACCCTGCCCCTCGAGGACCAGGATGGAGTAGGTGGCTCCTTTCTCCTACTGGTATAAAGTCCAGCCCAGAGCAAAGCTGCCCTCTCTCTTGCTGTATTTATGTTTCAGACTTCTCTGGGTTAGAGGAGGTAATTAACTGTTTTAGTTTAAAAGCCCTCCTGCTGGGTCCCAGTCTGCGTGGGAGAATCAAAGTAAACAAGCAAAAGGGAAGACTGTCATCAAAGGACCCTGCACCTACCTTTCTTCATCATGTGCCATTTGCTGCAGGTGCTGTGGATCACCCATGCAGGGCAGGGTCCAGGGCCTTTCATTCTTTTTAAGGGTAAATCAAGAGTGATGGGATCATAATTTAATGAGGCAGTCTTTCCATGGCTCCATATGCGCACCAGATAACAGACAAGTCACCTGTCCCTGGCCTGAGTGATTTTAGAGTGATGCTTGCAACAGGTTTTGGCTGATGACTTTCTCTAGTTTTCAAGCCAACTTGAAATTTGTTGCTGGAAACTAATCCAAATTGTTCCCTTCATGTAAATATTGACAACCAATTTTTTTAAAGTGCAAAAGATTTCTTCATTTTTATGGAGGAAAACATCCATTTCCTGGGAGGTAGCAAGTTTTGGAGATGAGGTGGGCCACTCCCCGGCAGGCTGGCTGAGGTGGATTATAAACCATATTGCCAGCGAAGACCCCTGTCTATGCCAGCTGCCCCAACATCACTTGTCTAAGGTGCTGACAAAGAATCTTGTCTCCTTAAGTGGAAGCTTATAAAAATTCACAGATGGAAGTGTCTAGGTCTTGCAATGACACCAGCCAAGCTAATGTTAACTTGAGCTGGCTGCAGGAGCGAGTCCTTGACTTCTCGTCTCCATATGAAGGTGGACACAGTATGGCCTAGCAGCTTCCCTAAACGGGATTCTTTAGATTCGTTGGTGCATTAATTAGTCTTCCTGGCAGCCAGGAATGAAGAAATCAGGTAACACAATGTAATGTGTGGTGGCAGAGATCAAACACAAAAGAAACATGTCTTGCAGGTACATGAAAAACTGGACCACAATTCTCAAAAACTGTTTTTAAGGTAGGCAAGTCTTCAAAACTAAAAATGAATAGAACAAACAAATAAATAAAAACTCTCCATGCAAAGTATCACCAGTTAAGTCCATCTTTGTATACTTTGAATGCTGTGACTCAAAAATACTCTCATTTTGTAGCAGCTGATCATTTATTTTTATTTATTTGTTGTGACTTGTCTTGCTTCCTAATTATTTCCCAAAGAAAATTGTAACTAAAAAGGCTTTTTAAAAATATATGTTTTTAGTTGTAGATGGACACAATATCTTTATTTTATTTATTTTTATGTGGTGCTGAGTATAGAACCCAGGCTCTCACACATGTGAGGTCAGTGCTCTACCACTGAGCCTCAGCCCCAGCCCAAGGCTTTATTTCTTTTTGTTGGCAAATTTTTCGTTGTTTTGAAGGGTAGTACTTTTCCATCCTGTTCTTAATTGATTTTACTTTTTTCAAAAATCAACAAGGAAAAGAAAAGAAAACACAGGATGGGGGCAATGAGCCCTCAGGACACTTTATTTTTGAATAGGCAGGTTGGGAAGCCCCTGAGGCCTGAGGTTTGGTGACAGCAGAGGGCTGAACTCCAGGACCAAGTGCGCCGGAGGCAGCTGAAGTCAGGTACGTGGAGAAGGCTGCAGAGCCTGCCAGGCCACCCAGTCCCCAACACTGGGCGCACTGGATCTCCCGTAATTAAATGCTTCCCTTGAGCAAATGCTAACAAAATAAAGCACGGTGGGCACCGCATTTGGTTCTCCTTGCGTTTTCCACCTTTCTGTTGCCAGCCCTTCACGTCGCCTTCCCAGCAGTCCCATTCCTTGGCCGGTGCCAGCCAGGCGCACTGCGCAACCACTTGGGTTTTCTTCCCTCTTTTGCGCCCAGTGAATTTTCATAAAGTGTTTAACGTGAGAACAAGCAGGTTCATTTCCCGCGCGGTGGGCCAGGCGCGCCGCATCACTGCCGGGTTTTGGCTTCTGAGGCCCAGCAGCGAGAACTCCTGCCAGAGCCCGTCCGGTACCGGCACCAGGTTCCCTGTAGCGGAACAGATTGTGCGGCCGCTCCGCAGCCTCTGGAAACGGCACATCAAAACGAAGCTGTAGCCTTCCTGCAAGAAGGAGATGAGACTCTCTTGGGCTGGCAGTTCTGCCAGGAAAGGGCTCTAGACATGCAGGAGAGGGCAAAGGCATTCCACCTAGCCACGCACCTGGCCTCGGGACCCTGAGGTCCTCCTAGTGCCATCAGCTGTCAACCGCCTGTTACATCACAAGGCGGGTTAGTCTTCCTCTAATCAAGTGCAGACCCGAAAACCAAGGATTTTCTTTTTAGTATAGAAAGAGGCTACACACAAAAAAGTGGGATTGTAAGGAAAGTTGAAAGGTTTTGAATCTGGCCTTTCATATATTCCCAGTTAATTGCTTGAACCACGTATGAAAATTTGGTGCATGGGAAGTTCCAATGTGATACTTAGGCGTGAGCCTTGTGACAAGGTCACTGCTGCTCAGGGAGACTTTTGGGGAGAAGCTGAGCCTTGCAGCTTCCAACATAGCCCAGGGATGAGAATGGCCTGTTCCTGAAGGTGACAAGGTCAGTGAGCCTTGAGGAAAAGAACAGGAATGACTCACCCTATCACTCCCCAATGTTAGGAACGGAGGACCAGTGGTGCCAGAGGGAGGCTTTGGAATGAAATACACAGACAATCCTTGATTACAGTGGGGTTCCGTTCTGATAAGCCCATCATGATTTAAAATGTCACAAGTCAAAAGTGCACTTCACACCCTGAACCCACCAAACACCTTGGCTAGCAGCAGGGCAGGCTGTGGGGTTCCCTCCGCTCCCCCTCAGGATCACTGGGCTCGCTGGGAGCTGTGCCCTCTGCCCTCGCAGTCCCCAGGAGTAGATAGTGCAGGTTTCCTACCATACCTTTCTGAAGAACAGAGAGGTTAGACTTATGTGGAGCCCCTCAACTAGTCCATGATCAAGGTGAGCAGAACTCACTCTTAGCTCCCAGTCTCCTGTTCGACCTGCAGATCCCCCTCTTTGCACTCTAGGGGACCAGTGGGCCATCTTATGGGCTTGGTAAACTTTTGTTTTCTGCTTAAACTCCTTTAGACAAGATTCTGCGGTTGGCTACCAGAATTCCTGACTAATGCCAGGATCACATTCTACATGCAATCTGTCACCTGTCTTTTTAAATCAACAAGAAGTAGGTGCCTCTGTGTAGGGCATGATCTACGTAAGCATGGGGGAGGGCTGTGGGGTACACTGTTGATGGCTGCCCCATTATTTACCCAGTCAATCCCATGATGATTAAGATCTAATTTTTCTCCATTTTTTCCCCTATAATTCATTCATTCAAGAACTATTTACTGAGTATGTTTCTGTGCCAGGCACTAATTTATGTAATGTAGAAAACAGCTCCCAGGCTACATGGAATTCACAATGCGGGTCTGGTGTCCCCAGAGCCTAACCAAAAGGAAAGCCCAGGGAACTTGCATCACTTGGCACTGAGGCAGGTCAATCTACTCCCCCATAATGGCAACCAGCCTGTCCAAGGATGGGATTCAGCATATGCTACTCCCATACACAGGCCCTGGGCATTTGACAGAACAGCAGAAAAGGGAGGCCACTGTCCCCACTCCTTCCCCTTCTCCCTGGAGCAGGTCATAAAACCTTCATTCCAGAGGTCCTTCCTAAACTTGAAGGAAAGGAGCATCCTCACCCTGAAAGACAGACACCAAGGAGAAGCTGAACACACAGGCCTTGGTAAGTCCCCCTCCTCTGTCCAGCCAGGCTTCTGCATGACTGTTGGTTCTGAATCAAATCCAAGCGTAAAATCCAGTTTCCCCTTTCTTTGGACCTTCATTTATGAAGGCTCCCAGGTCATGTAAAACTTATATAAAATAAATGCATATGCTTTGCTCTTGTTAATCTGTCTCTTATTATAGGTGACTGGGCAGTGAACCCTGTGATAGGCGAGGAAAAGATATTCTTTTGTTCCAGAGCATCATCTAATCACACACCTCTTCTTTTGCATGAAATCAGACCTGAAATATCTAGAGTCTACTTTCCTCCACACACGGAAGCCTTCAGGTTGTTGGATTCTGCAGGAATCCAGGTATTTAGTATGCTTTCCATCTCTCAAAAACAAAAATAAAACCATACAGAGCAACCTCTTACTGCTTCATTCCAACTTAGAAACCTAAACTCTCGAATCCTGATCAGTAACTGGGCAGGAATGGAAGGCCACTGGTTGCTGACGGTCATTTACTCACCACAATCTTTGGGTCTATGCTGTCAGTGCAAAATGTGACCACTGTCCATTTCTTCCTTTGTCTAGCTGCTGTTGTTATGGCCCAGGAGCGATGCTGATTTTAAAGATGACTTGGCTCTGGTAAGCTGATTTCTCAGGCCTCCTTCAGTTAGTTCCAGCCACAAATGCTCCCTTTGGGCTGCGAACCCAGAAGGCTACAGGGAGTGAGAGGTTCTCCATGGTTTTCAGGCTGCGTGCATGTGTAAGTGCTTTGAACAGAGGTGATTAAGGGGTTAATTGTATACAGTGAGTTATGACTTTTTTTTTTAAAGAAAGGAGAGCAAGGGATAGAGAGGAGTATGAAAATAATGAATAATACAAGGGAGTATTTCCCTGAAATCTCCTGGTCTCTCTGATCATCTTAAGGATTCACCTTTTTTTTTTTAATTTTTTAGTTGTAGATAGACACAATACCTTTACTTATTTTTATGTGGTGCTGAGGATTGAACTCAGTGCCTTACACATGCCAGGCAAGCGCTCTGCCACTGAGCCACAATCCTAGCCTAGGATTCACCTTCTTGCTAAAACCAGATAGGTGAGCTAAGCTCAGAGAGGGTACAACTATGGTGTGAAGCACTCAAAGTTCCTAGCATAAGCTGGACACAGAGTAGCTGCCCAGCTGGGAATTAAAGGTTTGTGAGATTAACTGAAGAGTTGCAGTGCAGTCTGCCCCTCTCCCACCAAAAATGATCCACCTGTCTGTCTCTCAGACACACACATATACACACACACACACACACACACACAGAGCAATATTCTCCATGTTTGTTAGGTTCTTGCAGATGGACGTAGATGTCCCATCTTTAGGCATGGTGGTATTCTTCCTTACTTTCTTATAGTTTGTAAGCATGATCAGTAACTTAGGTCCTAGGGTAAGAATCACAGAGAATCAGTTTTGGAGTTAGGAGGGCCTTTGAAGTTACCATCATGGCTACTGAACAGTCCTACAAATATCTGAGTCCTGCAAATGCCTGAGACTTTTGTCTTTGAACGCTCATAGTTCAATATAATCATTTTCTGATTTTTCAGTTTTCCAAAAGAAATTTAAAAATGTAAAATGTTTAACAATTCATAGTAATTCGGAAAGAGTAGTACGACTTTTTTTCTTTTTTTTGTACTGGGGACTGAACTCAGGGGCACTTGACCACTGAACCACATCCCCAGCCCTATTTGGTACTGGGGACTGAACTCAGGGTCTCACTGAATTGCTTAGCACCTCGCTTTTGCTGAGGCTGGCTTTGAACTCTGATCCTCCTCCCTCAGTTTCCTGAGCTGCTGGGATTACAGGTGAGCGCCACCATGCCCGGCTAGTACCAAATTTCATGAGGGTCACTATAAGCATCCTTCCAAAGCTAAAAACATTATATATATATACAACTCAGAATGTCTTGGGGTGGAGAGAGTGCTTATTTTTATCTGCCATGAAATACACTGCCACAAATGATGGTATTCCTGAGATAAAAGTTCAGAGTGTTTGGGGCCTCAGTTTCCAAATCTGCAAGATGAATTTGGAGGTTCTTTCTGTCTCCACTACTCAACCTTCTCTGTATCACTGTCCTCTGGTTAGTTGTCTTAAGACAACTGCTCTCCAAACAGTGGAAATGCTCACCTGTGTTACCTTCTTTTGAGTAGAAATGATAACACATTGCTGGCCTAATATTTAGATTTACTATATATTTTATGGTAAAAATATAAAATATCTAATGTTTTGAGCACTCTTTAGATGGAATCATAGAAGTTTTCAATCTTTGTCACTTCAGATGAAAATGATGTTTAAAAAGTTAGCTGAAAGTTAATATTTACCTTTATAGCTATATCTAATATATAATTATGAGACATATTAAAAGAATAATGTTTACCATCTTTAGATGACTTGTATTTTCCTTTTTTTTTTTTTTGCAGTGCTAGGGCTGGAACCCATGGCCTTGCACACACCAGGCAAGCGCTCCCTCACCAAGCTTCAGCCTCGGCCCCTTACCCTCTTTAAACTGTACTGAAGAAGCATTAACTGATTTAAAAGCCCAGGCATTTTGAGAACTTTAAAGCAGTTGAAGAAAAGAGGGCAAATCAGAAATATCCAATGAAAACTATTTGTAATGGTTAAAAAGCTATGTGATGTGCCTATTTTAGTATTTAGAAATTGACATCTTTGATCTAGATATTTGTTTTACTTGATCTGATGGGTTCGGGTGGGGCTTGGACACAGGTACTTTGAAAGGCCTCCCAGACAGTTCCAAAGAACAGTCAACCTGAGAACCCTGCCCCAAGGGTACATGAGCAAATGCCTGGCCCTCCAGAAGCAGCCCCTACACTCAGGTGAGAAAGGCCTGCTGGGGGGAGAGGAAGCAGCGGTCCCCTGGGCTCCTGCCACAGATCCTCAAACAGCACACTGCCCATCACATAATCCACCACGAGCTCCCTCCATTTTACCACGTGCCATTTCTGTTTACAACATATTGGCAAATACTGGCAATGTGCTGTCATGATCTTTGCTGTGGTTGCTGATTTACCCCTGGTCCTTGGTTTGCTATTCCCACCTGCGCACTGAAGGGAGGAACCTCATGGAAGTGGAGCAGGAAGGCAGTCATAGGCTGGGAGGGCACTGAGGCCAGCCCTGCATTTTACAGATGAGCAAATGAAGAACTGAAGAAATTAAATAATCTCCCCATTAGCTGGGTGACCTGGCATTGCCTATAATCCCAGCAATTTGGGAGACTGAGGTAGAAGGACTGCAACTTTAAGGCCAGTCTGGACAACACAGCAAGACCCCATCTCAGAAAAAGAAATAAAGAAAAGGATTTTGATTTTGATTAAAAAAAATTTTTTTGTAGTTGTAGATGGACAGGATGCCTTTATTTTTGTATGCGGTGCTAAGGATCGAACCCAGTGCCTTGCACATGCTAGGCAAGCACTCTGCTACTGAGCTACAACCTCAGCCCAAGAAAAGGATTTTTAAAAAGATATTGTTTTCTGACCATAAAAAGAATATATCTCTTTATAGGAAAGCGCATACCTGTATTTTAATAGATACCTGTAATCCCACACATGGTCACACCATGACATCACCATTTGGAGTGTTGGAGCAAGGTCAGAACAGCCCAGGGCCACTGCTCCCAAGTCCCAGCCTCCTGCTTCCTTTATACTCTTAATCAATAGTCACTCAACACTGGTTGAGTCCATTCTTTATCACCTCCATTTGGCTCAGGTCTATGTTTTCCTGGCCCAAGCCCCTAAACTATTGCGCTGTAATTTCTGGAATGTTACAACCATTCCCTGCAACACCACCTACTCTGTTGGAACTTCTGCTTGGCTGAGTCCTGCTTCCTTTGAGGGGAAGAAGACTGCACTGCCCTGCAAGGAGGGTCAGGAGTAGACGGAGACGTCCTCTTCATACATGTCACTGTCCCTCTCCCATACCATTACTCCGCCACACGCAGGAGTCCAAGTCCCCCTTTCAAATCCTTGCTGTGCTCATCAGTAGAAATGTCTCCCTGTAGCCCAAGGGAAATCCCATCTCATGACCCTAGTATCTTCCAACACCCACCTTGGTGATGTGGTCACACTTGGGTCTCACACAAAGGAATGAGAAAGGGAATTTTCCAAGTCAATAAGAAGATGGCCAAGCACCGAGAGCTGAGCGTCTGCCTTCACCTTGTTACATCTCCCAACACTCTTCTGCCCCTGTTGCACACCGTGCTCACCATCACCCCACAACCGCTTGCACTTGCTTAGCTCCTTCTTATGCTAAGCAAGGTCAACCTGCTGCAACCACAGACCCAAAGTTGATTTGTCTTTCACTCAATAGTTTGTCTTTTACTCAAAAATTCACACATAGATTGGTGGTGTGGGGTCAGTGAGAGGTTCCTCCTCTCGGGCAGAGGCCCAGCTGCTTCTCACTTGGTGCTCCATCATCCTGATCTGTGTGGCTGAAACTGGCTTGCCATACCATGCTTCCACCTGAGTGACTGGAGGAAGAGAGAGTAGAGGACAGGTGGCTTCCTTTTAAGGAATTAAATGTCATCTACATTCCTATGCAATTTATATGCTCACTGCAACTGAGGCTGGGACTTGTAGGCTTTGAAAGGTAGACCATTTGTATGCTCAAACTTAAAAGAAGGAGGCCATTAACCTCTGCCACACCCCTGTGCAAGAACCACACCATGTCTGTACTGTTAAACATGTTTCTCTACACTGAATTTTTGCATTTCTGGTCATTGAAAGAAGCGTGCATTTTTAAATCCCCTCAACCCACAACAGGGCTTCACACACTTGAGTGGTTGAACAAAGAGTGAATGTATTCTCTCTTCCAGCAAACCAAATCTCAGGCCCAGGCAAGAGCAAAGGAGAATTAAAAGGGAACAAGAATCAAGGATGCTATGATGGTATCAGTTGGAACTGTTAAACCTGAAGTCCAAGTTGGTCCAAGTTTGGTGGTAGAATCACAAGAAACTCATCCTGCCGAGAGTGGGCACTTGGGGATCAGGGGATTATGCACCCTCCCAGTGGGCAGCTCCCTCCCTTGAAGAAGGAGACAGGAAGTGGCAGAGCCAGTTATACCAGAATTATCACATGGCTGGCAACCCTGGATCAAAGGAGATGTGCACGGGGACAGGGAGAAGCCAGGAGTACTACCTTAGCGAGGTCCCTGTGAAGGAAAGAGACTTCCTTCCTCACAACCATGTTGATTTCTGAGGATCCTACAGCTTCCCCTGGGAAGGCCTTATAATTCCGTCTCTCATAAGCCCCGCAAAAGGATCAGAATTGAGTCATTATTCTGGGATAGGATCTACTCTTATGCCCTCCCAGTTATGAGCTCTCCAGAAGTCCTGGCATGTCCTTCCTCTCTGGGAGACAGGGTCACTCCCAGGTTCCCCTGCTGTCTTCTGGGATGCAGCCTTGGTAGAATGTGAGCCTGATGGGTTTCCCATCTTTGTGGAGCATCCTAAGCCACATGAGCTTGACAGGGTCCCAAGGTTGCCCTCCCATGAAACTCTCTGACTTTTCTTTGCCCAACACTGCATACCCAGCTATGCCTACTTCTCACTAGGCACTGATCCTGCCCACAAGGAGCAGAGCTCAAAGCACCCAGGTGTCCTCATGATAAGCATCAGGGTAGTTTTTCTTGTCACACACCTGATGCTGATGCTGATGTCAGAGCTTTGGTAGTGCCAAGTGCTTGTGTGCTCAGAATGGCTCTGTGAATATGTGTTAGGGGACTTGACTATGGGACCTCTGCTTGCAATTCTAATGCCTCATTCATCTACTCAGTGATTCCCTGATTCACTCATTTTTAGTTTGTTCTTTTCCACAAATTGGTGAAAAAATGATTTTACTATCTCCCACACTATTATGTAGCTATAGCGGCAACTCAAAGATTCTAGTATAATGTAACATTTATGAATTACTTAATCCTCCTTTCCTTTAATCAATAAGAACTGGTGGAATAAAGAAATATAAACTACATAATGAATGAACATATGACAATATTTCAAGATCTCTTAAGCTTCTCCATTAATGGTTATATAATGAATTACTGGAGTTCTTTTTCTTTTCTTCTCTTTCTCTGTCTTCCATTCATAGATTTTTTTTTTGTACCAGGGATTGAACTCAGAAGTACTTAAACACCGAGCCACATCCCCTGTCCTTTTTTATGTTTTAGTAGAGACAGGGTCTTGATGAGTTGCTGAGGGCCTTACTAAGTTACTGAGGCTGGGTTTGAACTCGCTATTCTCTGGCCTCAGCTTCCCGAGTAACTGGGATTATAGGCATGTCCACTACACCTGGCTCCATTCATAGATTTGATATGGCACGTCTGAATGCAACTGGCCTCCTCTGGTAATCACATGGAGCCACTACTGACCTTTTGCTCCCACTCAGTGACCACCAGAAACCCTGGGTTATTATGATATACAAGCTCCTAATTTTTATTTTGAATAGTGGTAAATAGCCTGCTTGCCCTGTCCAGTTATGGGAATAGTTCTTGAGCTCCCTTGGAATATCACTTCAAGCCACAGAAGGCTATCTGTCAATAACATTCCTTTTCAGGTTATTTCTCAGTTTTTATATAAATCTGAACCCACTGGCTCAGCTCCACCTAGTGTGGATTTTCTAGGCACTTAGCCCCATCGTCCTTCGCCTTTCCATCTCCTGACATGACCTGCCTATGTGGTAGTCCCTTCTACTGGCTACCATTTTGTATGTATTTAATAAAATGCTTCTTGAATCAAATTGAATAATAAGAATGAAAAGTAGATGCAAATGGGTTCTTTCAAGAGAGCGTCTGAGACATGGAAGGAGAAACAAGTGGTACAGCCCAGGGTTGTGCACTATGGAAAGGCAGAGTTTCCAGGAAGAATCGAGAGCAATACCATCCAAGGCAACTGCTTTGCTAGTTTTCCTGGTGGAAGTCAACCATCAAAGCAAAGTTGCTCAGATGCTAAAACTGGATTGTGAAAAACAAACAAGAACACAATGTGCTGTTATTTAAAAATTACTCATTTGGAAAGACATAAATCCAATATTGTCACAAACACTGTAAGCTGTTCATCCTCAATTGTGAGCTAGGAAATTGGTGAACATCATATTCTAAAATTAAAATGAAGGCGATGTTGGAAAACAGTTCTCAAAAGATGTATTGAGACAGAACTCTGAGAACAGGCCAACAAATTCTGGCCAAAAGACCAGATAGTTGACTGTTTGATAAATGCATAATAAGACAGTAGAATTTTATTGATAGTATTACTAATTGAAGCTGAGCTACTCTAAAATGGAGAGGTTAATTAATGAGTGTAGATTTGGTACAAAAACAAAGTTACCGAAACAAAGCCAAGGATGGAGGAATATCAAAATGGGGCCCTATCTCTGATAATGGGGTGTTTCCTTTTGGGGAAAAAAAAACTTAAGAAAATGGTGGTTCATTCATAAGACAGCTATAATATTGGGAAAATAATTAGTTACTGCCAACAGAGATCTAATATTCCCATTAACCACATTTATTGATAAGCTACGTGTCATGGTGCATGTTTATAATCCCAGCAACTCCAGAGGCTGAGGCAGAAGGATCACAAGTTTGAGGCCAGCCTGGGCAACTGAGAGAGACCCTGTCTCAAAATAGAAAGGGCTGGGGATATAGCTCAGTGCTAGAGTGCTTGCCTAGCATGTGTGAGGCCCTGATTCCATCCTCATTACCTCAATAATAATAAAAATATTGATAATAATAAATTATTAATATGGTTTAGGTTAGGGTTCTTTTAGGTTTATTATTAGTAAGGCCAATTATGAGGTCCATAGGAAAAGAGGTACTGGAGCTCCCAACTAGTAAATACACTCAACTGAGGTGGGTTAGTTTCCTAAGTTACCATAACAAATAATCACAAATTTTGCAGTTTAAAACAATAGAAATTTAGTCTCTCATTCCAGAGACTAGAAATTTGATATAATTTTATCAGCAGGACTGAGATCCCTCCCTGGAGAAGCCTTCCTTCCTCCTGCCGCTTCTGCAGCTGTTGGAAGTCCTTGTGGCCATATCACTCCGAGCTCTGCCTCTGGCTTCTCTATGTGTCTCTTATGAGGCCACTTGTCATTGGGTGTAGGGCCTACACAGACAGTTCATGATGATCCTCGCCTGTAGATACCCAAATGCATTTTCAAAAACCTTTTCTCTAGGGGGCTGGGGAGGCATATATATATATATCAGTTGGTAGAGTGCTTTCCTTACATGCACAAGGCCTGGTTCCATCCCATCCCCAGCACCAAAATAAAAAAGAAAAGAAAAATCTTTTTTTTCTAAAGAAGATCACATTCACAGGTTCTAGGGATTAGGAGCTACCATTCAATCTACCACAGGCAGTCTGCTTCACAAACAATGGAATGAATGAAACCTTAAAGGAACTACTAGAAAGCAGTATGATAATAAAAGTGAGTTCTCCCTTTCCCATCTCT